GCTCCGACTTCGAGGCCGAGAACGGCATCGTGTTCCAGTTCTCGGGCTCTGAGGGCGTCAACGGCGGAGCCAACATGGTCGGATCCTTCAGGTAACGACGCTGACACTTTTGCCGCTCTCTCTCTCTCTATCTATCTATCTATCTATCTATCTTCTCTGTCTTTCAATCCCCCCCCTCTCTCTCTCTCTCTCTCTCTCTCTCTCTCTCTCTCTCTCTCTTCTCTCTCTCTCTCTCTCTCTCTCTCTCTCTCTCTCTCTCTCTCTCTCTCTCTCTCTCTCTCTCAACCGCCGAAGCTCTAACCTCGCCCTCTCCCCCCCCCAGCTACCCCCAGGAGGACGGCTCTCTGGCCGAAGTCAAGTTCGTGGCCGACGAGAACGGCTTCCAGCCCGAGTCGTCCCTCCTGCCCGTGGCCCCCGCCTTCCCCCACCCCATCCCCCAGTTCGTCCTCGACCAGATCGAGTTCGCCCGCCTCGAGGACGAGCGCAAGGCGCGTGAAGGAAAAAACTAATAATGCCTTTGTGATAATGATGCCATGTGTCTAACTCTGTTCCAGTCTTATATATCCATATTTATAACAGCAAAATGCAAACTGTAAATAAAAATACACATTGTATTAGATATGTGTCTCTTATTGGCATATCAAGGTTTCTTCATAAACGTAAGCACTGTATATAATCCTGCACCATATATGATTAAAATCAGTAAAGGATGCAAACGGTGTCAAATCAACCTCACCATCTATATGAAGTGAGACATTTCAATCGATCTGATCTCATGCAGTAGAACGAAGCCATTAGATAAGAATTTACCCATAGGAGCCCCCCCCCCCCCCCCCCCCCACTCCTTTTCAGCATCAAACCTGCGCGATGTAGCAATAACAAACTTATCTTTATTCATTACCTTTCTGGCCATTTACCATCATGCAACCATGTGCAGTGTATCTATTGAAATACAAGTTTGACTATACACACACACGTATACATATGCAACACCTACACAGGCGCGTAGATCTCATGAAACCCATTCATTTATTTTTTTTTTAGCATACAATTTTGCTCTGGAAAAGCGTTGGCATGACAACGAATAGGCTTTGCATCGAACTTCCAGGAATTTTGCGGTTATCAAGGTATAATTCTCTCTATGGAGTGAATTCCATTCATTGCACTCCTGAATACTGACACAGTATTTCACAATCTGAATTTTTAATGCGCTATCATTAGGCTTCTTTTTCCCTTCCATTTGGAGACAGAGAGAGAGGGAAATATAAAGATAAATATTAGAAAAAATAGTGACAAATTATATCATATACCAAGGGAAGAAATTGTGTGAATATACTTATTCATTTTATGTCAGCGGGATTAACGGGTATTAATGTAAAATGATAGTAATGATGATAGATTTTTTTTAAATGCCAATCTACGGCATATATGTAATTTTCCTATACTTACAAAAGTTGTTTTATGGCGGTGAGACATTTTCTTAATCATGGATACACACGAATAGTTATAAGAAGATACAGTCCCGTTGGTAATGATCACGAGAAAAGTATTTGAAAAGTTGTATAAGTCAGAGAATGTTTGTTATGACTTCTCATATCTATGGGTGACATTGCTCATACTTATGAAGAAAAAAAATATCTTAACAAGCCAACATTGTATAAGTCAGAAAAAGGGATAGTTTAATAATTTCGTATGCACGTATGACAATTAATTCCTTTTCTCTCCATTCGCTTTCCAATCAATCAACCGGAATTTGTGGTCAGTATAGTTACAGATTTCGTTAAAGCAAAAGTTTCTGCACGTGAAACTTAAAAAGAAAGGTTGGGATAACATCCAAGAGTCAATTAATGTGACCGGTGCAGTGTATACGTTTTATTATCGAAAGTTTTTCAGATTTTATCAAGCTGAATCTTAAACGGGTCGAGTATCAGTTTTATTTTCTTGTTGTTTGAAAACGCTCGCTCGCGGCTTTGCAATTTCAGTGATAAGTGTGGAGAAGCAATCATGTGGGCTCTCCCTTTCTCTCTCTAAGCATATCCCCGGGCATCTGCAATGGAACCCTGGAAGGAACAACAAATAAATGTTTATATTAAGAAAATGGCTTTAAGAAAAAACAATACCCCAATTTCGGTAATGTATAGAGAATTTTTATCAGAAATTGCAGAACATAATGATTTTCTTTGAATATATACTGACGGTTCGGTGAACCCAATGACGGGACGAGCAGGAGTTACTGTCTGTGTGTGTGACGGGAACGGACAGGCGCCTGTGGTAGAGCGACAGGCACGGCTGACGGACTTCTCCTCGTCCACTCAAACTGAGTTAATTGCTATCACTATGGCAATGGAAATCATCAATACTTATAAAAGAAACAATAATCATTTAGATGATAATATCTGTGCTAGATTTATGTGGGTTCCATCACATATCGGAATAAGCGGAAATGAAAAAGGAGATGACCTAGTCCAAGAGGCGGCACAAAAAGGAATGATCAGTCCAC